GTCTTGTTGATTGCTTTGTTGCTCTCAGACTGAGGCTACTGCCTCCGACATTTCTGGGATTTAGTTGTTCTGCTTTTGCTGTTCTTAGGACTTATTCACTAGTCAGTTGTTACCAGACTGAGGCTAGTGCCTCCAACATTCTAGGATCTAGTTGTCACTACTTTTTGATTTCCTAGGACATGAATGTTAGTTAGTTGCTCCTACTTTCACTTAGGCTGTTAGCTATGACATTGTTGTTTTGTGACATTTTATATCCTAGGTTGCATCGCATGGACTCAGCATGGAGCTTGCTCCGTATCTTTGACTACTCAGGTTTTCTTTTCTTTGGTAGAGTTCCGCTTCTTGGCGGAAGCATGTTTATATCTAGGCGATCCATCACAGGCCAAGGATCGTGTAGCGGATCTCGGGTTGGCCTGTGAGACCAGCCCCTTGGCCTATTCTCACAGGCCTGTGTTATATTCGGGGTAGGCCAGTCCAGGCCGGTACCTCTGTCGGTACCAGCCAGTCCTGTCCAGTCCCGTCAGTCCACTGGGGTATACCCCGGCCATTGTCTGTTTTCATTCTCATTCCTCACTTGCACATTTTGGAGTACGTGCGTTGGAGTCTTGCGTGGGGAGCTGCGTTGTGCCATCTTGCTCCCCCTTCTTCCTCCATCTCCATCTCTGYCACTAGCGGAGCACCACACCTGGTGGGTCCGCTACAATCCCGATACCGGAACTCCCTACCTATTTGAAGCCAACAGGCGACCAAGTGTCAGGAGGATATGGCTTTCCCTGGGAGATTACCCAAACTCTCTCCTCACCCCATCCTACCTCCACCTCACTTTCCTCCATGTCCTATTTCCCTCTTCGCAACCTAGCAAGCGCGTCCAAAAATCTCTCTCAACCCAACTGCCAGCTTCAGGGAAGTCGTGGCTGGGTTATGTGCAAGTAGCGAGTCAGAAAGTCCTGACGAGCCGACTGCAGTGTACGCATGATTGTGCGTTGGGTGACCGCGATGAACTGCAGCATCTGGGCAAGTTGGCATAAAGGCTGAGTAGCCTGATTTGGTGGGGTGACCATCGCTGTGGTTTGAAGGTTGGTACATGGCTGCCAGGATCGTCAATACCTGAGTGAGAGGAGTGTGTGTGTACGAGTGGTTGAATGGCCTGAGGCATTATCAAAGAAGAGAAGGCTGACGCGCCTTGATTTTCAAATTCCTTTTCCTTTGGTACTCAGAAGCTAAGTTCATGGTGAATGGTCGGGTGTTCCCCTCCTGCAGATTGTCTGTATAACGAGAGCTATCTCCCTCTCCTGAGTTCTCTTCTTCAGTCAAGCTCTCTCTCTCCCTCTCTCTCCCTCTCTCTCTCTCCCTCTTGCTCTTATCTATCACATGAACTCTCCAGATGTCCTTGATCCCGCTCGCCCCTGTTGAATTCAATCGGGTCTCGCACAAGCGAGTACCATTGAACTCGATGGGGGCAGTGAGCCTCAGGAGCTCTTACCGGTTTTCTATGTCGACGTGTCTCTCGAACATCCGAAGACCGTGTATGCGAGATTTGATGCACATGTGTATTGATTGGGCTAACTAAGTAGGAATCCCGCTGAGCTTATGGGAATGCATGTTTGTCGCTCCCTCGATGGATGATGATTGCTGTTGTGATTGGATCGAACTCACACCTCTCTTTTTGATCGGTTCGCCGAATGGACGATGTAGCGACTGTCGCCGTGCAGAGCATTATCTGAAAAAGGGATTCCACTACCAAACATGTGGCCAAGACGAACACAAGCAACTAGCAACCCGGTGGAGGCCATCCGCGTCGGATTCCGAGTTCTGTAATGAGCGGTGTCGGGATCTGATTCAAAAACGAGATCCCACATGCGTACCTTCGCCCTTCCACTCGAAAAAATGGCCAGTAGCCCATTCAAAGAAAAAGAAAAAGAACAAAACCATGGTAGCGATCCGGACCTCCGGACAGGGATCCGGACCGTCCGATGTCCAGTGTCCGGTGAACGTGTCCGGATCCCGGTCCGGATTCCAGGCCCTTTGGCCAACGGCCAAATTTGTTTTTGTTTGTCCAGGGCGTTTCGTCTCGCCCAGGGCTGCCAGCCAAAAATACGAGCAGAATTTTTTTGGCCCTGAAGGGGCATCCGGTAGAATTTGTTTTGCCTGTGGGAAGTTTTCTTCCTTCTATGTTTCTGCCCGTTTGAATGTCATCCTTGCATCATGGCAGCTTCGTAGTGGGCACAGTCTTTGAATTCATCATCCCGTCTTGCGAGTTCGGCCGCCCCCCCCTCCCACGACAATGTTCGAGCTCGCATACCTGCCAATACCGCCATTGTCAGAGGGAGGAAGAAGCAGGGCAACGAGGCCGCCATAGCAGGCAAGGAGCAGACGCGGAGCAGGCACAGGAGGGCTGGCAGTGGGTGCACCAAAGGCCGCGTGAGGAGCGGTGCAAGCAGCTCTCTCTCTCTCTCTCTCTCTCTCTCTCTCTCTCTCTCTCTCTCTCTCTCTCTCGTCGTTTTGTTGTCATGGTCTTCTCCTTTTTTGCTCCTCCGTCCGCCTCCTCCATGTCTGCGTCCTCCTTCCGCTCCTCCTCCTCCTCCTCTTGGTCATCATCATGTACTTGCTATAACCTCCCCCGCTCCCTTCCCTGCTCATGCCACGTGGCACCCTTTTTCCTTTTTTTTCGGATCTTTGTCGTCATGTTCCTCGTCTTCATCCTCCTCCCGCTCCTCCCCGTCCACGTCTTTGCCCTCCTCCTGCTGCTACTCCATGCCTTCGCCCTCCTCCCCCTCATCTTGGTTGTTGACATGTACTCGCTATAACCTCCCCTCCCCGCCCCTACCTGTGCCACATGGCCTTTTCATTGTTTTCAACCCATTTGCAGTACTCTGTATAGCAGGTTTTTTTTTAATTTTAATCCGGACATGTACACACATCCCGACAGGTATCCGGACAGGCCGAGCCGAACATGTTCGGATTAACCGGAAAATACCGGAACTCCGGACGTTCGGATGAAACCGGGAAATCCGGTTTCCGGTGTCCGGACTTGTCCAGTTCACTTGTCCGCCGCTGCCATGAACAAAACCAAAATAGGAACACAGCTCCAAATTTCCAAAATAGAAATCCATCGTGGTTTTGCTGCCACCCGATTTTCCTGCAACAACGGTCGGGCGATTTCCCCCAGTTGTCTCACACGTGTCAACTTTTGTCCCGACGTGTAAACTTTTGTGCGGACATTTTACACTACTCGTGTGCTAGTGGAAGTTTGTGGCCCCCAGAGACATTGTTTTTGTGTTTTGTTTCCCTTCCCAGAGACTGTTTATGAACTATCAAATTGAGACTGTTCCAAAAATAAAAAATAAAAAAAACTCACTGTTCTGTGAGAGAACGTGTGTACACCATTCACCAGTCCTGGGAGGCCTCAATCCAACCGTCACGGTGTATCTTTCCATGTTCTAGTGGAAGATTCATGATTCCCATTTTGCACAATTGGTGGGAACACTGGTTTCTGTCTTGAAAAAAAAATAAAAAATGGAGAGTAGTTGAGCGAGACCCATAACCAGGGCTAAGGAGGTCCGGTTAGCTGAGCAGATACACAGATTCCAGAGGCTTTAGAAAATAATAATAAATAATAAATATAGACTTATGCAGAATATTCAGGAGAGTATTCTATATAATAGAGTCTTCACCTGCTTTTTTTTTTTTTTTTTTTAATCATCTTKTTTTTTGGCACAATGGWTTYTGAAATCCATGCTGATCCAAAAACAACTCTCAAATAAATTAACTTTAATTGAGTACAAGCACAGTAGCACTTGCTACTCAGTGTACTCACCCTTAAGGAAACTGCCCCCCTGACAGGCTGACACCACTGCCGGCCTGCCTTACAACCCCCTTAACGAACTATAAGGCCATCATGATGACAAAATTGCCAATGCCTGTTTTTTCTGCCCATTCGGAACACCCATGGGACATAAACGTACTTCCCTCGTTCATTTTTCAAAGTTCGACTAATTCATCGAAACAACTGAAATTTTCTGCACGTGCAAAAAAAAAAAAAACAAAAAAAAAAAAGCAGAAGAAGTAATCTTCTCGATTCTTCTGCAAATACAGAGAGTACGCAACAAGACTTATTAAGGCGTATCTCACACAGTAACAGTAGGACTTTCGCAACTTACCTCTGGACGCCACTGAGGTCAGATTCATCCAGCTCTGACCGAAATTGCGGTCAAATACATTTACCAAAATACTCATGTGAGTAATATGCTCTCCCGTGAGCCATAATTACTCCTCTGCCAGACGGACAGACCTTTATCAGTTCAGTTCCATTGAACTGAAATCAGGTCGAATTCAATGAACTGAGATCAGGTCCAATTCAATGCTCATATCGCATATAGGCCCGAGTCCATAGCCACTTTTAAGTCCTTAGCGATCCTTCAATCATCAGTCTAATTACTGATTACTAATCACTCCCCCAGTGTAATTACTCCCTCCCTCCCTCCCTCCCTCCCTCCCTCGCCAGTAGATGGCACCATTGACAATGTCTGTGAAGCTTCTGTCTGAATCCCCCAAGCGCAGGTCCCGACAGATGGGTTCACGTCAACGATTAATCCGCTCCCGCCAAAATAACCGTGGGGCCTCGCTCCACTACACAACATTAGACGCGTATCAGGACAGACTACGGACCAGGTACATTTGGACCTACTCAATATGTTTTGGGACCTCAACTTACCCCCCACTGGAGTGTAATTACTGTGTACCGCGCAAGCGCGGAAGGGCAGCGGAGTGAGACCGGGCGGCGGGCAGGGCTTGAAGCGCACCGAACGAAAAGGATTGTGAACGGCCCTGGGCACACCACTCTTGAAAGGGGCCCAATGGGCACACCACTCTTGAAAGGGGCCCAATGGGCACACCACTCTTGAAAGGGGCCCAATCTCAGGACGTAGCCACGCTCCACTTAGCAGAACAACCTGGTTGTTTTTTGTGTTTTTTGTCGTTTTTCCTTTTTCCATTTCGAG